CCCCCCCCCCCCCCCCACATAAAAAATGTTCTTCATATATGCCTCCCATAGACTTAACCCTTATAACCCCCCTAAAAGTTGTCCCTTCATATGCTCCCTAAACCAGTCTCAGTTGCTGTTAGTAATCTACCCTCAGAAGCTCAGACAGCCTTCTGCTAACCTGTCTGTTAATGTTAACACTAATATGCTGTCCACTACCATAACCATGAAATTTGTCTCCAGATATAAACACATTAAATTTATCTTAGAGCTAGCCAAATCCCATAACCCTTAAAAATGCATCTTCAATATTTCCCTTAAAAAATCCTTTAACAAGTACCCTTATATAACCCCTAAATTAGTGGTATAAAAAGCTACCACCTAATAAGTCCCTTAAACGCTGCTAGTGACTTTTCACACAGTCCCTGTGAGAACTACCCTCATCTTTGTGTACATGATTCATACTGTAAGATTCCATATCCACAAACATACACACTTGAATTACATCAGTGACGGCTAACAAAACACAAACACTCCTCTCTTATCAACCCTTTTGTTTTAGCAACACTTGCCCTCTATCCGTAAGTGTAAATGGGAACATACAAATCCCACCTATGTTCCTGCCTAATCGGATTTTAAAGGTTCATACTAGAAGAAATAATCAAGATATATATACAGCTTTTTAAGTAATAATAGATCTACTGACTTTTATTAAATATTCTCTTCTGCTAATAACTTAAAACACTGATCAGAGTCACTGCACCATATCACAAAATCAAAATTTATAATATTTTCCATTATTCAATGATGATATACTAAATTATAATTCTTTACACCCCTCTCCCACCCTTCTGTTTTGCTATCTCAAATAGGCCTACCACATTTCATATCCAAAGTATCTGAAGTATTAAGCCCTAAATTCAACAATTATGGATTAAAAAAAAAAAGATTTTAAAGGTTCATACATGAAATACATTGAATAAAATTGTGAAAAAAATAAAATGTTATTCAAAGAGATCCCCCTACAATCTTCTGTTAGTTCTACAAGGCAAATAGTCTAATCAGCGGCATGTTTGCCCAGGACTAAACAGACAGCAGAACAATGATAACCCAATGCAGTTTATGATCATCCTACCAGGAAGAAAGTAGCCTGATGACTTGAACACCCATGAACTCACAGGCATGCTCCTATATTTATTTTTTACTGTGAGACAAAATTACTGTCATAAAACTACTAGGTAACTAAATAGCACTGGACATAGCAATGGAAGTTTTAAACTTGATTAAATAGTGGAAAAGCATATATGACCATGGAGACAGGTGAGTAAAAAGCATGTCTCAGACAGGTAAGGGCTTTAAGTTATTTGGAATAGGGGTAAGAGACACTGACTGCTGCAGTGATTTTTCTATTTTTACAGCGTATAATCACTGGTATGAAAATGGTTAGGCAATAGAACAGCCAAACACATGCAGACTGCAGTGTGTAAAACGAGGAAAAACTGCAAGTGGTGTTGGAATAGTGGGTGACAGACAGACATGAACTTGGGACTGAAGTCCTAGTGTGAGTGTGTGTGTGTGTGTGTGTGTGTGTGTGTGTGCGTGCATGCATGTGTACATATGTGCAGACATATGGAAGGGAAAGAGTTGATAAATGTGGTAAACTTTTGTGTGCAACTGAATTGACTTTTAGCTTTAACAAAAAAATTAGGGAAAGACACGTTAGAGGAAGACTGCCCATTTTGGTAATTTTGCCAATACAAAAATAGAAAAAAAAAAGAAAGAAAAAACAGTAACTATTGTAAAGATCTTTAAATTGAGGCACTGGTTAACACAATCCATAAGGACATCAAACTTATCACAGAGATATCATCATGTCATTGCTAATTCAAACAGATAAATATCATTATCGTGTTCAAACAGATGTCTTGTACTATGAGGTTACCATAAACAGTAATGCCATATATTTGCTTTATAAGTCTTGGAAATGGTAAAAAAAAAAAAAAAGGCATAATAATTGTTACAACAGTCAGTTAAAGTGAT